GAATTTTCCGACGAAAATGAAAGTCGATGAAGCATTTTGCAACATACATACATCGACTCAGTTTTTTGTGCTGATTTCAAATATATTATTTTTTTTCAATCACAAGCCTGACTATTCAAGAGAAAATCGATCAAAAATCAGCAAAAAATTTTTTTTTGTAAACTACTCACTGTTTTTGCTATATTTTCAATATTATAGTATCCTTTGAAGATTTATGAAATATCGTAGAATTACAGAGCACGACTTGGACTATCAGAATATATAGAGAAAAAATTTCCTAAAGCTTTTTATAAAATATTAATAACACGGCGCACGAACTTTTTCCTCAACCTAATATTTTCTTTTTTTATCTATGAAAGAGTAAAATTTTTTTATTGAAGTCAATACTAGTACTTAAAAAAGCTTCGCTCTAGCCTTGTTTTTATGGATATGGGGTGTGACCATATCTTAGCTCGTGGTAGAAAACAAGATCGGTTACTCGAGTCGTAACAGATGTATTCGATTGTTTCTTGATTGCATGACTTTTGAGCCAGTCTATATTTTAATTCATAATTTTATCATTCATTGAATGAAAAGCAGTAGCACATTATATTAATACGCTCAGTTGCATCATTACACATCCATTGATAATAATGTCTTTACAGACAACATTAAGCGAGATTCTTAGTTGCATTCATGCACAAACTTGATTTCACTGAATTAGTTTTTTTTTTCTTTGTAAAATTAAGAATAAATTAAGACATTATTCATATATCAACTAAATAAAGTGAAGTCAAACTTGTCATCAAAGATTAACAACAACACTGGTGATCGTATTCGAATGGCTTTCAGTCTAATGCAGGCTCATGCTATGTCTATGATTTTATCTTTTATAATATTCGGTTCTACAGGTATTTTTATTGCACGTTATGGACGTTCACTACGTATTGGATCTAGCAGACAATTACTTGGCAAAGCTGTTTGGTTTCAAATACATCGATTTCTTCTTTCCATATCGACTTTATTAACACTTCTGGGCTTCTTTTTTATTCTTGTCAAAGCTCGTGGTGAATGGGTAAATCCTGAGTTATATGGTTTACGCTTATTTGTTCATTCAATATTAGGTGGTATAATTATATGCTGTGCTATGATACAAATATGGTTAGCATTATATCGTTGCAATCCTCATAGTCGATTTCGTTTTATTTTTGATTGGACTCATCGTATCACTGGTTTATTAGCTTTTAGTCTGTCAATTCCAACGATATTTCTCATCATATCTCTGTTACCAAGGTATCGTACTGTTCTCATTACAGCTATTTCACTTTGGACTGCCTGGATAGTCATCGTCGTTATAATCTGTGAAGTAATTGAATATCAAAAACGAGTATCTCCATTACCAATGACAAACAATGCTCAACAAAATGGTACAAATCAGGAGAATATTAATGTGAATGCACGATTAGATATTGAAGCAGCTACGCAAATGAATGTTGGTAGTCAATATTATAATAAAAAAAAATTACTTTTACTTATCATTCATATTATTATTAGTATTATTCTTTCTGTATTACTCATTGTACATATTTCTAAATAAATTAAATATATACAAATATTTAAATTTTAATGAGAGTTTGAATATTGTTACAACTGATTTCTTTTCTAGGTAAACTACATATAGAATAATTTATATAAGGCAAGCAAAACATCAGCTCTAATAAAGTATTTCATCCAATTTATTCTTCCGTAAGACATGCACCAACAAGGCTTTCTAGTACAATGAAAAACTATTGAGATGTAAAAGAAGACGCAAAAGACAAAGACTTCCAGGGAAAACATACAAATGTATGAAAAATTTATGCAATGTAAAGTCTTTTCAGAAAATTCCCGAAAAGTGATTGGTATATTCAATTATGATATTACTTCATTCGTGGAACACATCGATACGTTCTGATAAGATATATTAGCTTGTACTTTTTTAAAACTTAACACAGACGAAAAGTGTAATCAAGTTTGATAAATCATTACAATGCGTGAAATATTGCAGATGTTTCATAGTAAATATGAATGTGATAAATGCATTTTTTTTGTTAGCAAACAAAATCTAGGAAATAATTTTGGCAAAAAAATTGTTGAGTTTGATTATAAGATTTAATGTGTGTCGGAAAAAAGAAATCAATAGAATAAAGTTTCTAAATAATTTGTAAAACATGATCCAATGTCATTTTAAAAGAGCGCATGATGATCTTACTTCGCTCATATTACTGTTTGTGTCTTTGATTCGAGTACGAAGATTTTATTTTTTTGGTTTGTGAAAGAAGTAAAGTTTGTGAATGATCTTTGTTTTTTTTTCCATAAATCAAATATAAATAGAAGAAATTAACAAAACAATAGAAGTCTTTCAAATATAGTTTATTATACAGCTAAATTAAAAGGATGCACATATATATAGACATTTGTCAAAGTCTTTCTTTTCTATTTTCAAATACATTGCAATTTTTTTATCGAGAGACATCATAATGATCGATTGTATTCTACTATGTAATTAAGATAATTGACATTTACATGACTCACAAGCCTATTCTTATCGATTAATAATTCTTGAAGAGTATTGTTATTAGTATTTGCCACAAACCGCGGTGCAACTGCCGAAGGTCATCGCACAGTAACGGTGGATGTGGGTGTGAATATGAGTGCTTATCTGTTCTTCAACCACCACCATATTCACACCTACAATTACTGCGTCACTCCGTTACTGTGTAATGACCATCGGCGGTTGCGCCACAAGTTGTGACAACCTATGATTATTATGATGACCTAAATCATTAGCTAACAATTCAATTTTTTTATCCTCTAGTTTATTTTCATCGAGTCTTAATAAAGTCAACGAAGTATTTTTCTTTAACATATCAGCAAGATATTGTTCGTCTTCGTTTGTGATATCATAATTAGCAAGATCAAGTGATCAAATAATTGAAATATTCAATGGGGGATTTCTTGTCAAAAAATAAATACCTTTGTCAGATATCTAATTGTTATATAGCCATAAATCAGTCAAACGCGAAAGCTTATAAAATGCATTTACATACATGCATCACTACGACATGACATGCGTGGGAACGTATCACAGCGTAAACTATATTCGTGTTTATATGCATGAAATTTTGCGCATGTACGCGTTTAATACTGTCACTGCATGCAAGAATAGATAAATGCTTTTGTAGAGATTTCACATCTGTGCATACAAAATAATTTTAGAATGATTAAAGAAGTAAAGTATACAAAATGGTTCATAAGTCATGAGGTGGAACAAAATTAGTTTATATACACTCAGAGAATAACTCCTAATTGAATTTTTTTATATGATCTTGAGTGCCCATATCAATCTTTCAAATGACATATTATTAGATAATATCTTCTCTTGTAATAATAAAATATAAACATGCGAAAATATTTCCTACAATCGATCAATGTAATTTTTTTCTAAAAGTTTTTTAATAAAGTGCTAAACAATTCTACATAAAACAGCGTAGTAGAAACCAATAATTATCTATCTTATTCGGCGATCATAACAATACATTGGTTATATATTCAATGAAGCTATGTACTCGATAATCACATTGAAATAGATAAAATATATGAAAATATCACATGCAGAATGAAATATAACGAACAAAGATGATATTTTAAACTATTTATGAATTGTTTAATAGTCCAGTTTTATTCCAAGGAAGTAATAATAAATTTACTGATGTGTGGCATAATAAAAATGTATGAGGAACATTAAAGAAAAAAAAGTACAACAAGAACGATTTACAAGTTTTAAACAAATAAAAACTAGATTGAATAAACAATGAAAAAATTATAACTTGTAATGATTGATAAAATCTCTAAGAGACTTGGTCAATTAATAAAAAGTGTTAGAAAACAAATATGTGATAGTAAAATGATATTTTTAGTATAATCAAATTAACATATTAGAATGTTTTTCGTTTTTTTAATAAAATATCTTGTTGATCAATTGCGAAAAATTTATTCTTATATTCTCATGTTTATATATTTACTATTAAAAGAGGAACATATTATCAAATAATATATCACTTGAAGGAGTGACACAAGTGCTCAAGGTTCAAATAATAAACATTTGGCTAGAGGTTATTCTTTGTTTACATATAAATTATTTTTGTTGCGCCCCAAGACTTATGAAATATCCTGTATGTAACAAACATACAAGGACATGTAAGAGTTTATTTTAAGAGGTAAGATTCGAACAAACATAGTTTGCTTTAAACGATGAACTGCTTCACCATCCAGCTATCTACTGACATTAGAAGTGTTAAAATTCTAATCATCTTATAGGTGCACGCTGCCAATGATACATTAGCATAAACATGCGAGAGTGTTCCATGCAACTATTTTCAAGGATACAATTCATTCTCGAGCTGTCATGTTTTTCTTAAAAATTTGAAAACGTTGCATTTCCATGTATGTGTTTGCGACATATGCGTCTATGCATGCGCTCTTGTCTTGCACTGATGTGCAACAATTGTAACATATTCATGCATGGCATTCGACGATTTGAAAAATATTTTGCAAGTAAATGAAAGTTGCAAAAAATTTCCTGCAAACGTACGTCTTTTTTAAGCTTTTGTCTTTCATTGAAAGTACTCCCAATATTGTATTATTAATCAATGATGTTGCTAGAATTGAAACATCTTCTAATGTAATTTTATTTGATGATAAAAATAGTTTTCATATTGTTTGTTGATAATTGCTTTCATTTTTACTATAATTTCTATGTTACAATCGATTAAATTGTATTTTACAAATTTATTTTTGTTAAAGACCAATATTGTTCGGTTTGTTGTTCCAATT